TAATAATGAAAGGACTGATAGATATACATATTATATTCTAATCAACTACAACATATACTCAAATATCCTACATAAAAATCTTCACAATCAATGAACTACTAAGTACAGACTGTATAGTGGGCAAGTCTGATGTTACTACATATATTCGGAAAAAAGACAGGTGCCTGGTAGCAATGGTGGGTTTTTCTTTAATCAGAATAGGATGAAGATAAATGTCCCCAACTTCGTGATTGCATTATAAACCAAAAAATCTTTAATTTCATTTATTCCCATGGCTGCATTTAGCTGACTCATAATAAACATCTTTTCAGTCAGAGAAATGAATCTATAAATTATTGGCTGCTGAAAGTGCTTCTTTTGAAATTTCACAATAAAAAAACAACAAGAAGAACTGCTTCCAAAATTGACTTGGATCATGTATGCAATAACTTTTTTTGTTTATGAAAAGCAAACGGTCTGACCTTGACTTTGTAAAATAGCACAAGTTAAATTTCAAAAGAAGGTAAAAGCTGAGTTTATGAAACTTCTCCAAATTCAACTAGAAATCTCCTATTAATCAAGTTATTGAACAGAAAGAAGATGTTAATGAAACAGTTTGTCTTGACTATATAATAGATATAATAGCAACAATAGTGGTAATAGAATGATTCACCAGTTAGGGGTTCTTAAAATTTGCAGTGTTCAGCACTTATTAGATATAGAGTTTACAAAGTTATTCCTGTTATATGGACTGTTTTTCATTTTTCTTTTTTAACAATATTTTTATTATGTGGTTTATTCCATTTATTGCCTTATGCATATTAAAGTATCCCTGGATCTCTGGAATAAAATAAACTTGATCATGATGGATGATTTTTGTGATATATATCTGTATTTGATTTGCAAGTATATTGTCCCCTCAATTGTAGATCAGTGGTGTTTTGTAGACATCTAAAACAGACTATTGTTATTTTGGATGTCCACCAGAAACTGACAGTAAGATCCTTTTGCTAAAGATACACAAACATTTGTTATGGAGCATGGAGAGAGCAAGTCAGTCCTGACCAGAAAGCTTCCTCCCTGCTGAATAGTTCTCATAGTACTGGACAGAGCTATGCAGTCTGCTGGGGTAAAGCAGTCATCTTTAGTCTTACCCAACTGTGAACCCTGTGAACAGCAAAATTTACTGGAGTGGAAAAATATACACATGGGTGTCATAGTGGCATGAATGTTCTTGGGTAACCAGCACCTTTCTGGTTGGAATTAGGGTCTTCTTTACAGAAAGAAACATTTGTATATTGCTCTAAATTTGGCCAAGAACTCATGGTTAGTGAACTCATAGACTCCATGGGTGACTTTGCTGTTATTGTGCTAAATGCCCATAGTATTTTCAAAGTGCCCTGTAAATTCATATCTTTCTACCAATAAATTGTAGTGCAGTTGTCTATATTACATATTATAGTGTAGTTCTAGTATAGTGTAGTATCTCAGAAACATAGGTATTATCCCATGATTAGTGACCCTTGTCACTAATACAAAATACAAAAATAATGATACAAAAATAATGTTAATGGTATTGATAAAGGGAAAGGAAAATATAGAACATAAACGGGACCAAGATGGGACCCACACTTCACAACTTCTGTTGCCCATGATAGAAACAACAAAAAGATAGGTCATGAAGCTAATCCCATCCATGGACCACCACTGGAACAAATCAATCTATGTTACAAACCCAAAAGATTCCACAGAAATGGGCCCCCAACTGATTGGCCACATAGAGATAGGCTCATCACCTGTGTCCATAAACAGAGATCATACAGTAGCAAACTCTGTACCTGTCCAAGGTCTTACTATATCCAAATACTTGACATTCTCACTCATCTCTCTTTCTTTCACTATTCCATTCCTCTAATTTAAATACTGTATTTAATTTTTGTATTGTATGTGCATGAGTGTATTGCCTGCATAGGTGTAAGTGCACCTGTGTCCTGCAAAACCTATGGAAGTCAGAAGAGGGAATTAGATCCCCTGGAACTGGAGGTATGGATAATTGTTAGCCACCATGTGGATGCTGGGAATCAAATCTGAGTCCTTTTCAAGGGCAACCAATGCTCTTTACCACTGAGCCATCATCTGTCCAGTTCCCTACTCCTCTAATTTAATGCCTAATTTCAATTGAGTAAACCAGTTATGACCTGCTCTGATTTTTTTCACTCTCTGGTTGTTGTTTGAATTTTTAGTATTGTTGCTACTATATTTTTCCTTTTTGTATACATTTAAAAGATTTTTGAAAATTTTACACCATGTATTTCTATACTTTAAAGCCCTCTCCCCTACCTTCTCTCAAATACACTCCTACGAGACAATATATCCCTGACTTCATATCTTCTGTTCTTGTTTTTTTATGTCCTCTGTTCTTTTTTATAAAATTTCTCAGTGAATTTTTGTGTATTTCATACAGATCATCTCAATCACTCTTAATAATCTTTATATCCCTTCCCCACAAGTACCTTCTCATAACCTCCCCAATGGAACTCATACATTCTGTCATTTGTGTTAAGGTCTATTGTGTCAAGTTGTGTCCGCAGATGCTCCTCAGTGCAAGTTCATCTTTTGAGGTCTGGTCCGCCTATCTAGAGTCCCTCGTATTAGGAAGATCCGCTCTTCCTCAACAACAGTAATCAGTTACCAAAATTTCTTTGGTTAAGATTGGGGTCTGTTGTCCATTTCCCCAGTTCTATGCTGGGTTTTTGTCTGCTTGAGTTTGCATGGGTCTTGAGCATACTGACACCATTACTGTAGGATCATTCGAGCAGGATCCCAGGAGTCTGTAGGACTCTATTTGCATGTGGTCATGCACCTCCTCCCTGGCTCTTACAATCTTTCTGCCCCCTCTTTTGCAATGCTCCCTGAGCCCTGGGTAGGTAAAGTTTAATATAGGAGTCCTGTCCAGGGACCAGCATTCTGCAGACTCTTAATCTTTATGCTTTGACCATTTGTGACCTTTTCTGTTCCCGGGCCTCTGTCACATGAAGGAGCTTCATTAATGAGAACTGAGATATTCGTTGTTGTTTTCTTTACCCCTGTTCTATGTTCCATGGGCCTTAGGTGCAGAGGTTGCATTGTAGATGTGCCACTTAGGCTTGGGCAATTCACAGACAATGTCTGGTTCCCCAGTTCTATGCTGGGTTTTTGTCTGCTTGAGTTTGGATGAATCTTGTGCATGTTTACACCATTGCTCATGAGGTTCCAGGAACTTGTAGAAGTCTATTTCCATATAGTCATGCACCTCCTCCCTGGATTTTACAATCTTTCTGCTTCATCTTCCACAGCACTCCATAAGCCCTTTGTGGGTAGAACTGTATACGAGAATCGTATCCAAGGACTCACATAATAGCAATTTTCCATTTCAGTCAACCAACAAACCAAAAATCACCTAACTGAACCTCTTCCCCAATACAAAGGACTATGCGAGTGATTCACCTTTATGCTACAGTCTCACCTCCCCCACCCACAAAAGAAAAGTTCTATATAATCCAGCCTGCTGTGATGAGCAACCACTGTTCCCTTTCTCCTGTGGGAGCAGTCCTGAGCTCATCCATCCCAGGAAATTTCTTCTTTTCTCACCTCAGAGTGGTCTCCAATGGTCCTTGTTTCTTTTCACAAACCTGACAGTGGTATGTTTGAAGATTTTCCAAACAAAATTGACAAGTGCAATTTTTCCAGACCCTTTATGAACATTTATTTTTATTTGCTTAGTAGAAAATGTTCAAAAATAAATATGGAGAAAAAACAAACATAGGTCCTATTGCTTTTTCCAGCATTACTGAGGAGTAGAAATCACAAAAACTGCGACAGAAATGGGTACTTTCATTAGATAGCAAGGCCACAGCAACAGGTGACCATCTTGGTAGAAATTGGTGATGAAGAGAACCACAGTGAGCCTGTCTTTGATAGTTGTTATGAAACCTCTCTTGATTCTTTCATTTGTTACTTAGCATAGCATTCTTAGGACAATTTATACTTTTCTTTATATTTAGAGACTTTCCCTTAGGAGGTGCTGAGTAGTTTCTTGATTATCCCTAAAGTATCAATGAAATTCCTGAATGTGGTCTGTTATTTGTTAGAAACAATTTGCATTTCTCTCCCTCACATATTTCTCTCTCTCTCTCTCTCTCTCTCTCTCTCTCTCTCTCTCTC